CAATTTGAAGCCCACCACTGGCTAGCTCTGACGTTTGTGAAGACGCTATGCAGAACGTTGGCCCGCATGGCCCTGCCACCCTCCTCGCCCGCCCTGGTGTCCCCGTGACCTTACCTGGACATCCCTTCAGCTAACATCTGTTTGATCACTCTGTGGCCTTTTTTTTCCCCCCCCGCTTCCCTTCTGCTTTCCCCTGTGTGTGTGTGTGTGTGTGTGTCTACGACGGTCTCTTCACAGAGCACGGGGTGGGAATTGGCCCTTAAACCCGTTTTGCCGACAAGAGGGAACTGAGGCCACGCGGCCGGCTTTTCTTCAGTCGCCGAGAGTGGTGGGACTCGATCTCAGGTCTCGGAAGTCTAAAGTACCGATTGTAATCTATGCAAACTTTTCCTCTCTTTCTCTCTCTCTCTCTCTCTCTCTCTCTCTCTCCAAATTCCGGATCAAGGAAGCGCCACTTCTGTGCTTGGAATAAAAACATTTGGGTATCGGATGCGATTTATTTTAGCCTGGGGGGGGGAGATGAGGGGGGGGCGCTCCAGTGGAGAGAAGGGGGGATATGAGGACCACCTTCAAAGACCGGAAGTCTCTCTCCCCCCCCCCAGGTCCTTCTTCTGTGGGCCCATCATCAGCTCTGCTCCCCCCTTTCAGCCAGTGCCAAACTGGTTTGTTGCATCCTTGGGGAGGGGGTGTTTGAGGGGGGGTCGGCCTTGCCTTTCAAGGGCTCCCTGGCTGCATCATCCAGCTATTGGGGGGGGGGGGCTTTTGTGTTCCTCTTGGGAGGAAAGCCGGGCTGGAGCCACGCAAAGCCTCTGGGGTCCAGGATTGGCACCCTAACCCTAACCTTCCCCATTTCCCTTTACCCCCCATCCCAGCCTGGCCTTGGCACCTGCAGCTACATGCCTGCTTCCCCTTCCAAGCCGAGGGCACCAGTTACAAAAGCAGGACAATCTTCTACATTTTGTGCGTGGGGGGGGGGCTGCCTCCCACCCCAGGAGGAGCTCAGGGCTGGGCTCGGCCCTTCAGAGCAGCCGTGCCTGCTTCTGCCCCCTCCCTGCCTCTGCCAGCCAAGCTCCCTTCCCTGCAGCATGCCAGCCTGGCAAGGCCTGACCCCGCCAGCTCCAGTTCTGTGCCTGGTGCCCCCTTTGGTGCCCCTGAGCCGGCTTTGCTCTTCGGTGGGGGTGGCTGGCCTGGCACGAAGGCTGTTCACCGACTCCGAGCCTTGAAAGGCTGCCAGGTTTCCTCCCCATCTTGTGCCCAGCGGAGGAGTTCTTTCTTGCCGCCATCTCCCCCCCCCCCCTGCTCCAGTCGGCCAAGGGCTCCCCCTCCCCGCCTGCTGCTTTGGGGGTCTCTGTAGCCAAACCCCACTGGCAGCAGAGAGAGTCGGGCCTTAAGAACGCTGGAGGGTCTGCAGGAAGAGTTGAAATGGTCTGTGGTCTCCTGCCTGGGCAGGGGGTTGGACTAGAAGGCCTCTGAGGGCCCCTTCCGACTCTGCTCTCTTCTCCCAGCTAAGCCCAGGGGCTGCCCGGGGCCCCTCCCAGCGTTGCCACCTGTGACGAGGGGGGCAGAGGGAGGGGCTCCCTCCAGCTAAGACCACTTCCAAGGCTTGCAGAGAAACGCTGGGGCTGTGATGGGGCAGCTCCACTGGGGGGGGGCAGCCTGAAAGGGGGTAGCAGAGCCTGGGCATCCTTGAGGGTCCCTGGCAGAGAACATAAAGAGATTCTGGGAGAACCGTTTCGCACCCCGGACTTTGCCAACAAACTGGCAAACCAAGAGAAATTTCCCCACGTTTATTAAAGGAATAGCTTCACTATGATTTTTTTTTACAAAAAACATCTGCCCCCCCCTCCCCATTTTCACAATATATACATCCCCTCCCCCAATGGACAGAGACCCTGCTGGGCTGGGAGGTTTTTTTAGGGGGGGTCTCAAGAACCTGCTGTCTCAGGAGAGCACCTGGGCTGGCTTTTGGCAGCAACAGGAGGCAGAAATGCCATCTCGGGTGGCATTGCCAAGCTGTACCAAGTTCCCAACCTCAACCTGAGCTCTTTGGAGCAGCAGCGTTTGCCAAAGAGACCCAGGTTGGCACAAGGGAGGGGGGGGGAACAACAGGAGGAGCAGAAGGAAAGGGAGGACAGGTGAGTGCCAAGTGGGTATCTCTGCCCCCGGGCAAACTCCTGCTTCCTTCCTTTCCAGATGCCCGGGAGGCCGCAAAGAAAGAGCTTTGGGCCAATGCCCACCGTCCTCTCTGCTTGCCCAAGAACTGGAGGGCAACAATTTGGCAACAAAAGGGAAAAAAAATACATCAACGTAAAAACAAGGAAACCTATAAAAATCACACACGCTGGATGGGCATCCTCGTCTCTTGGAAGGGGGGCACCAGCGCACGGGCACCCCGGAGTCTTGGGGGGCTTCACCAAAGGCCCCAGGTACAAAGCAAAGGAGGGGGAGCTGCCTGGCACATCAGAGTCCATCGTCCTGGGCCCCGGGAGGAAGCCGGGCCCCGGGCCCCTCTCACGGGAGGGGAGGGGGGGCTCCCCAGGCTCATCCGCGGTGCTTGTCGTATTCGCTCACCATCTTCTTGATGTGGAAAAGCTTCTTCCTCAGAGATTTGGTCTCCAGTTTCTTCTGCTGGTAGTCCGGTGTCTGGCAGAAGGGAACCTTGGGTAAGCAGAGCTGGTGCTGGCCTGCAGCCCCCCCACCCCCCACCCCCAGGATGGGAAAGATCTCCCCCTCAAGGGGGCTGGATTGCGGCTGCCTCCTCCCCAGCCCTGATCCCAGGAGCTCCAGGCAAGAGCCCTCATGCAGGCCACGCCCAATCCAGAGGGGAAACCGGAAGCTCTGAAGGGGGGGGGAGGCCAGCCGTGCAGGGTCTCCTGCTTGGGCAGAAGGGGGGTTGGGCTAGATCAGTGTTTCTCAACCTTGGCAACTTGAAGATGTCTGGACTGCAACTCCCAGAATTCCCCAGCCAGCAGTTGCTGGCTGGGGAATTC